CTTTTCTCTCTTTTTTCGATGTTTCCGGTAAAAACATCGGTGACGACTCCATAAGAACCCTTTCAAACTTGTTCTTAGGTCAGCCCAGTTATCGGACGATCTAAGATCACTCCTTCAAAAACCTCGCCCTTTGGTTCAATCCGGTTATCGGACAACCTAAAGGCGTTGTAACCTCACCCATAAAAAACGGAAAGTCGGAACCATCGTGTCGCTCCGACCGCCTCTTTTTGATGGCGGCGACAACGAGTACGAGGTGGAAGATGCATACAAGATATAATGAGTATGAGGTGGAAGACAAGTATGAGATGAAAGACGAGTCAAAGGTGGAAGACAAGTTAGAGAGGAATGGAACCTTTTGGGTCTATTGTGGAGGAGTAAAATCTAATGTGGAGATGTACTACGTGTAAGAGAGTCATGGAAACTTCTAAATTTGTTACAACGAAATAATATCTATTACGACGGACCAAGATATGTGATAGAGGACATAGAACAACGGTTATATTTACAACCATCACCAAATTGGCAACTTACAACTATGGGTCGAAACCATCGTTAAATTTGCAACTTTAAATGACGACTGTAATATTGATGGTTGTAAAATCATTGTTATATGTCTTTTATAATCATCGTTAAATCATTTATTTACAGTAATGATGGTACTACCCTTTTAACTAATAAAACTAAAGAAACAATTGGAAAAATTACTTGAAAAGTAGTTAATTTGTTCTAATATATTACTTTGGGAAACTCCTGTTTTGTTAGATACAAAGAAAGATAAAAGTTTTAGGTTGTATGTAGAATATTGTTAGATAAATAAAGTCACCATAAAAAATAAATACACTTGTCCTGGATGATTTGATGGATCAATTAAGAGGAGTCTTTACATTTTTTAAAATAAATTTAATGTTAGAATGACATCAAATTAGAGTAAAGTTAGAAGACATAAAAAAAAACCGCATTCATAATCGGGTATATTTATTATGAATGTCAAGCGATGTCTTTTGGTATGACTAATACTCTTGCATTTTTCATGGATTATATGAATAAAATTATATTTACCTTTTTAAACTATTTTATAATTACTTTTATGTATGACATTTTTATTTATTATAAGATTCTTGAAGAACACCTTCAAACAATTATTCAAATTTTGAAAGATAAATGATTTTATGTTAAATTGTCTAAGTGTAAATTTTAGTTGGAGGAAGTAAAATTCTTAAAATAAGTTATTTCTAAAGAAGAAGTATAAGTATAAGTAGAAGTAATTCTACAATAGAAATCATTTAAGAACTATGATTGAGATTCATACTTTTATGAAATTGGTAGGATATTATCGAAAATTCATTAATTATGTATTTAACTGAACTCACTAATAAAAGTCAAATTTTTTAATGAAGAGAAAAATGCAAGAATAGTTTATAAGAGTTTAAGAAAATATTAATCATTTTCATGTGTTAACGTTATCTAATCTATGGACACTTTTTAATATTTTATAATGCTTCCAAAACAACATTAAGATGTATTTTATGCAAGATAGAAAAGTAATAATATATGTTTCTAGACAATTAAAAAAACATGAGAAAAATTATTCAATTTATGATCTAAAACTAGTTATCATTATTTTTATTCTCAAAATGAAGAGATATTATGTTTATGGTGGTAAGGTTGAGGGTTTTAATAATAATTATAGTCTTAAATATTTATTTGATCAAAATGAGATAAAAAAAATAAATGAAATTTTTAAAGATTATGATATTTTTGAACAATTTAAATATTTTTATAATAAAAAAGCTATTTATTTATTTTATAAAAATATAATGATTAAAAAAAGAAAGAATAAGGTTGACTTATCTCCTAAAAAAATAAAATAATGCTTTAAAAATATCTTAAAGCTTGTAATTATTACAAACATTTAAAGTGGGTAAAAAATAAAATAAAAATAAACATTTTCTACGTAGCTAAACTATATGGAGAGAAAAAGAGAAAAAAAAAAAAAGAAGAGAAAAATACATAAGCATCTTAGTATAATTTTGATATTGTAATTACCAAGATAAAAAAAATATTTATAATTTTATTTATTTATTATTTTATAATTATGATTGTGTTAACGGGATGTCTTTAACGTTATTTTATTTATTTATATTGATATTATTTAATATATTTTTAGTTATTCATTGGTTATTTTATTTTATTTTATATTTATATTATTTTATTTATTTTCAATTTTACATTGATTCTCTTTAATTATTTATATTTATATAACTTAATTTATTTCTAATTTTGCATGATCTCTTAATTTTTTTATATTTATGTTGTTTTATTTTTTTCTAGGTATGAACTAGTATTTTTATTAATTTATATTTATTTTTAAATTTTTTAAAAGAATATTAAATATTTTTATAAATAAAAAGTTGATGAAATTATAGTTAAAAGTTTCACCTTGTGATTCAAATGAGTAAAAATAATATAGTATCAATAATTTTATGTTACTATTTTAATCATAGACAAAAATTTATTTATCTTAACTAATCACTAAAAAATAATTTAAATACTCATAATATGAAAAAATTTATAAAATTAAAAATATGAATTATATATTATGTTGGTATGATATTATTTTATAAAAATTGAAAATATCAATTTAAAGAGATGGATAAACCAAAATTTTCAAACACTTTCTCTATGATGATGGTAACCATCTTTATAGGAATTAACTAGAATACTAACTATCATTAATAATTTAGTTATTTTATCAACTTTAACATTTGTTAGAAATAATGTAAAATTGTGTTTCATTATGTTTTTCATTTAAAAATGGAGAGGATAAGGGAATATATATATATATATATATATATATATATATATATATATATATATATATATATATCAAGTGTGTATTGTACTAAATGATAATAATTGTTTTTATTGAATAATAAAAATATGTGACCAAAGTTTGTAATATGAAAAATATGATAAAATAATAATTAATTGGAGTTAAAAGTTATAATTAAAGATAATGATGAGAAGTTAAGAAGCTATAACCTTCTTAGTCATAAGTACTAATGAGTAATTAGATATAATAATTAATTATAATTTATGAGTTAATTAGAGTTAGTTGATGATATATACCTACATTATTTTAAAATATATTAAACATCTTCTATGATAATTCTAATATTAATCCATAATTTAAAAAATTCTCTACGAACAAATTAAAATTAAAATATTAAATTTTTAACCACATACTCAATCTCACATACAATTTAATTTATTAATAAGTTAAGTATGAATTCTACTAAATGATAATACAATAAAACGAGAAAATAAAACTAAATAATAGTTAATTGGATTTTAAAGTTACCATATTTTAAATAAAGATAAAGATGAATAATTTTCTTCATCAATAGTAATGATAAGTAGTTATATGCAATTAATTCTAAATTTTGAGTAAGTTAGAATTAGTTAATAATCCTTAATTATATTGTTTTAAAATATATTAAAAATACCTAATGATAAGTCTAATATTAATTAATTATTTACAAAATTATCTTATATATAAAAATATTATATTTTCAACATATTTAATCTCATGTATAAATTATTTTTATATATGCCAAATCTGTATTGTACTAAATGATAATATTTCTATTTACAGAATAATAAAAGTCTGATGAAAGTGAACCCCATAACAAACAATAGGAAAATGAGATAAAATAATAATTAGGTGGAGCTAAAAGTCAATTTCTACATTGAGGATAACAGAGTTAAGAAATTATAATATTTTTAATAAAAATAATTATGTGCATATAGATGCAATAATTAATGTTAGTTTTTAAATTAATTAGAGTTTGTTCACATACTTAGCTACATTGTTTTAAAATATATAAAAAAATTTAGAAGATCTTTTTAACAAAATTATTTATAAAGTTCAAGATATATTTTAAAAATAATCTTTTGTAATATTCTACAAAAATTATTTTAAAAAATATTCAATTTCAACATATTTTAAACAGAATAATAAAAGTTATATTTCATAAAGTTATATTCAATTTCAACTTATTTTATTTTTCTCTTTATTTCTACATTTTAACTTAATCCTTTATTGTTAATTACATCTTTCCTTCTTTTGTAACTAAATATTCTTATATGTTTTGATTTCCTATTGAAAATTATCCTCACATAGATAACATTAACTTATTGAGCATATCATTACATGATCAAAATTTTCTTATTTTATATAAATGAAAAAAAATACATGATGATAAATAGAGTAAAGGAAATAATACAATTAAATTATCATTTAAATTTTTTTAAACTCTATAAGAAGAAATAAAATAAATCCAAAAAATATGTGTAAGAATTACATATAGATGTTTATAAGTATGATAACTAAAAAGAAAAGGTTGTAAAATTATATAAACTAAATTAGTGACTAATTTTGACCTTAATTCTCTTTTAGCAAAAAAAAAAAACAGGTTAAAAATTAAAAAAAACAGAGAACATTAATATGTTTTCTTTCTTACACTCTGTATATTATATAGTGTTAGAATAAGAGTATCAAATATAGAAAGTGTTGTTAGAATTTCGCATTTTCTTTGGGGTTCGTTTGTTTGTTGTACTGAATAGTGGGACTAAAAGAACTAAACGGCATCGTTATAGGGTTTTTCTCTCTCTCTTTCTCTCTCACACACTCACTCTCTCCTTCAGTTTTTGGCACAAAAAGTACGAATTTCTCAATTGCTCAGATATAGAGCAACTCCTCAGACCAGACCCAGAGGAAGAACATCCCAAGAAAAAAGCAGAAGCAGCAGCTCCCAAGATCCGATCAGATCCATTCAACCCTCTTAATCTCTTTTCTCTTCCACTTTCCCTTTTCTTTATCCTTCCCTCAATTATTCTCACTCCCCCAAATCATTTCCGCTCCGGTTACTTAGGGTTTCCCCAAATTTCCTCTTTCAAATGCGTAAGATTCACACCCAGGCATCGCCAAATTCAAGTGCATGAAGCTTTGGTGCTGTCTATGCATCACCGAAGACGAAGAAGAAGATAACCTAAACCTTATGAAGGAAGACGACATTTCCGGAAAGGACGTTGTTCCCGGGCTGGGAGACGGTGACGCTAACGACAACCGCGACCATAACCGATCCATACCGTCGCCCACCAAGACATTGGGCTCGTGGTCCGGCGAGTGCAGCGCGGTCGAGTGCTCGGACAGCGTAGCCGCAGGTGGCGCTGAAAGCCGCGATTTGAGTCACAAACGCGCCAAATTCGACGCTGATTTCGAGTGAGTTTCGCCAAACCCACACGTGAATGCCTTCTTGAGTGCGTGCATTGTTGTTGTGACGATGATGATGTGTCAGTTCACTTCTTCTGTGTTGCGTGTTACTGCTTTGATGTCGTCACTCTTGAAACTGAAAATTGTTATCGAGTGTTTTTCAGTGACGATTGATTGTGGTTCCTATCTTTTTATGCAGGGAGGTTCACTTTTCCACGAATGCTGGGACATGCGGTGCCTCTAATGAATATGGAGATTATGACTACATTAAAGGATCTCTTCGACCCAATGTTGAAACCTGTTATGATGCATTTGGATTGACGGGTGCTGGTGAGGGGAGTGCCTTTGGTTCCAGCATTGTGGAAGATGGTGAAGGGGATGATAGTGATACCTCCAAAGTGGAAGATGTTGATGCCAGAATGGATCTCACTGATGACTTGTTGCATATGGTAATTGTCTTGGAAAATCTTTATGTCTGCAATTTCTCTCGCTTTTAAGTTAACTAGCTTATTGCGGTACTGTCTGATGCTTTCTTGAAATTTGACTTTTCCCGGTGTGTTATGTTTTTCTTTAATCTCTTGCTGTGTGTTATGTTTTTCTTTAATCTCTTGCTGTGTGTTATGTTTTTCTTTAATCTCTTGCTGTGTGTTATGTTTTTCTTTAATCTCTTGCTGTGTGTTATGTTTTTCTTTGATCTCTTGCTGTGTGTTATGTTTTTCTTTGATCTCTTGCTGTGTGTTATGTTTTTCTTTGATCTCTTACTGTGTTATGTTTTTCTTTAAACTCTTACTGTGTGTTATGTTTTTCTTTAATCTCTTACTGTGTGTTATGTTTTTCTTTAATCTCTTACTGTGTGTTATGTTTTTCTTTAATCTCTTACTGTGTGTTATGTTTTTCTTTAATCTCTTACTGTGTGTTATGTTTTTCTTTAATCTCTTACTGTGTGTTATGTTTTTCTTTAATCTCTTACTGTGTGTTATGTTTTTCTTTAATCTCTTACTGTGTGTTATGTTTTCTTTAATCTCTTACTGTGTGTTATGTTTTTCTTTAATCTCTTACTGTGTGTTATGTTTTTCTTAATCTCTTACTGTGTGTTATGTTTTTCTTTAATCTCTTACTGTGTGTTATGTTTTTCTTTAATCTCTTACTGTGTGTTATGTTTTTCTTTAATCTCTTACTGTGTGTTATGTTTTTCTTTTTTAATCTCTTACTGTGTGTTATGTTTTTCTTTAATCTCTTACTGTGTGTTATGTTTTTCTTTAATCTCTTACTGTGTTATGTTTTTCTTTAATCTCTTACTGTGTGTTATGTTTTTCTTTTATCTCTTCCTGTGTGTTATGTTTTTCTTTTATCTCTTCCTGTGTGTTATGTTTTTCTTTAATCTCTTCCTGTGTGTTATGTTTTTCTTTAATCTCTTCCTGTGTGTTATGTTTTTCTTTAATCTCTTCCTGTGTGTTATGTTTTTCTTTAATCTCTTCCTGTGTGTTATGTTTTTCTTTAATCTCTTCCTGTGTTATGTTTTTCTTTAATCTCTTACTGTGTGTTATGTTTTTCTTTTATCTCTTACTGTGTGTTATGTTTTTCTTTTATCTCTTACTGTGTTATGTTTTTCTTTTATCTCTTACTGTGTTATGTTTTTCTTTTATCTCTTACTGTGTTATGTTTTTCTTTTATCTCTTACTGTGTTATGTTTTTCTTTTATCTCTTACTGTATCTTATGTTTTTCTTTTATCTCTTACTGTATCTTATGTTTTTCTTTTATCTCTTACGTCCACTTTTGCTATCTGTGAAATTTAGGTCTTCTCGTTTTTGGATCATCCCAATCTTTGTAAAGCTGCCAGGGTTTGTAAGCAGTGGCGAAGTGCAAGTGCTCATGAAGATTTCTGGAAAAATTTGAATTTTGAAGATCGAAACATTTCTGTCGAACAATGTGAGCCTGTATATATTTTGTAGTAAGCTGTTTTTTTTTCTTTTTTAGTTTTATGTTGTGGCTGTAAACTTTTACTTGTGGAAGCATATTTATCCATCATAGAGAGTAGTGTGAAATAACTGGTCCCGAAATCCTGAATGAATGCTATCACAGTATGGATGCTTTACCAAGATTATTGATCCAGCATCAATATTTTATCCTATACATATAAATGCTAAAATAAAATAAAAATTCAGAAATTAAAGCCATATTCATTATTCATAAGTTAGTCTGATAATTGAAAGTAGTAAGTTGAGCAACAGAACATTTGGGTGAAAATGAAAAAAGAACAAGACCCTCAAAGCTTCAATAGAGTGAGTAGTGAGCTCAAGCTTGTGAGGGTGGTAAAAGTAAAAAAACAAAAAACTAAACTAAAGCCATATTCGTTAGTTATAAGTTATAGCCTGAAATTGAAGTATTAAGTTGAACAACAGAACAAAGTGGAAGAAAATGAAAAAAAAAAAAACTCTCATGCTTCAACAGAGAGTGTGTAGCGAACTCAAGCTTGTGAAGGTCAACACTGATTGAGATGAACCAAGGTTTACTTCAAATGCGAAAGGGGAGGGTTTCCAATTTTTCAATATGTTGGGAAATGACAAATATAAAAAAAATTGGATAGGAAAAGTCAGACAATGGGAGAAAAATTGGGTTACTTGAACTTGGTAGCGATCTCCATCTGCATCATGCTATTAGGGTGCTATTGCAATGTTATAGCACATGCTTGATAACTACAAGGAGAAGTCTTGCTTCATTTAAACTATTTATTTGGAAATGTGCTTATTAAAACTATATGAATTTACAGTTGAGGACATGTGTAGGCGTTATCCTAATGCCACGGCAGTGAGCATATCTGGTTCTGCTATTTACTTGCTTGTCATGAGGGCCATCTCTTCTTTAAGGTAGGTATTCTATTGCAGTATTGCAGTCAATCATGTGCTGGACGTCAACTTTCATTTGTTTTAATCATTTTCAGGACTCTAGAGGTTCTACAATTAGGAAGAGGACCACTAGCTGATACTTTTTTCCATGCTTTAGCTGATTGTTCTATGTTAAAAAAGTTGAATATCAGTGATTCTACACTTGGCAATGGCATTCAAGAGATATCTTTAAATCATGACAGATTGTGTCATCTTCAATTAACAAAATGCCGGGTGATGCGAATAGCAGTCAGGTAAGTATGCTTAATGGTTTATCGACATTTAGTGAATACTTTGCTGATAAACTAAATAGTGATTATTTATCTTCTTTTTAGGTGCCCGCAACTGGAAACTATGTCATTGAAGCGCACTAACATGGCACAGGTTGTGCTTAATTGTCCACTTTTGCGTGAGCTTGATATAGGCTCTTGTCACAAACTTCCTGATGCTGCAATACGCGCTGCTGCAACTTCATGCCCTCAACTGGTCTCACTGGACATGTCAAATTGTTCTTGTGTCAGTGATGAAACTCTGCGTGAAATAGCAATGAGTTGTGCTAACCTTAGTTTTCTTGATGCATCATACTGCCCAAACATATCATTGGAGGTGTGCTATAGAGTCAATCACTTATTGCACATATAGATTAAATAAGAGTATATGACTTTCTTTGACATGGCTGCTCACTTGTTTGTTTAATCTTTGAAGTCTGTTAGACTGCCGATGTTGACAGTTCTTAAGCTTCATAGTTGTGAGGGGATCACTTCTGCCTCAATGGCTGCAATAGCTCATAGTTATATGTTGGAGGTATGTTATTTCTCTCAGATACTAGAAATTAGGAATGTGTTTGAATTACTGAGTATAGACTTCTAGAAAAATTAAATGGTGCCACTGCCACTGCAGGTTTTGGAGCTTGATAATTGTAGCCTGTTGACCTCAGTATCTTTGGATCTTCCTCATTTGCAGACTATTAGATTGGTACACTGTCGCAAGTATGTATCTTCATTTATCTTTCTCTTTGGAAAAGTAATTTAATTATATTGTTCGTCATTGTCTCTCTCAGTTTCTTGTGTTATTGTTGTTTAACTCCACAACCCTTTCCCCATTTTTCAGTATAATATTTTCTCATTTTTTTTTTGAATTATTTAATTGGCAGGTTTGCTGATTTGAACTTGAGGACTATGATGCTTTCTTCTATTCTGGTGTCAAACTGTCCTGCACTTCATCGTGTCAACATCACTGCAAATTCACTTCAAGTATGTCGTGTAATTAAGACTCGTTTATTCCTTAATGCCCATTTATTCTATAGTTGTGTAAAGGCTTTACCTTGTGGTGATGCAGAAATTAGCATTGCAAAAGCAAGATAGTTTAACCACATTGGCTCTGCAATGCCAATCTTTACAAGAAGTGGACCTCTCAGAGTGTGAATCTTTGACAAACTCTATATGTGATGTTTTTAGTGATGTTGGAGGATGCCCTATGCTGAAATCACTAGTTCTTGATAATTGCGAGGTACATGAAATATGTCCCTTTTTCTGGCACATGATGAATCAATTTGTTTATCCATGATCAGTTGTGTTTAAGAGGCAACTTATCTAGTAGGTGTGCCATCATGATTAGTAAGAGTTGAAAAATGGGTGCTTGGATATATTTTTTGTGATGTACTTACTCATTATTTAATCTTAGACCGATCTCTTCTAGCTTTCCAAGTTTTTGGGGTTTTCTTAATATCTACACATAAATGAGTTGGTGTTGTTTACAAATTTTATGAAATTTTGTGGAAGTGGATGCATGGTGTATTACTTGTCACAATGTGAGCATTTCCATGAGTCAACTGGACACTTCGTTTCACCATAGATCCTTTGTCTGGTGTTGAAAAATCGTTTACTACCGATTATGATGTAGAATTTAGGTGGGAAAGAGAAAGAAACTAAAAGTTTGAGACAGGAAGAGGGGAAGAGAGAAGAATTACTAATTGGAGAGGATAGAAAGAGAAAAAATGAGAAGCAGATCTGAGAAAATTTGCAGTACACTTCTTGATTATTATTATTTTAGTCTATTTCTAACACGCATCAGCCATCAGCCATCCTTTATTTTATAGACAGCTTACAGTTATAAAATTTGAACTGAAAATAGTTGCTCAACTAACCAACTAACATTCGATTCTCATTTATAGTTTCGTATCAGATTATGCCTCCTAAATTTTCTGCTGGTTGCACTTGTGAGAGATTAGCTTTCTTAGAAATCTTGCTTTTTCCTATTACTAATTTATTGGTAAAATATTATGGGTTTTCTTTTTCCTTTTTCACTGAACTTTGGTGTTTTGCTGAATTTAGAGCTTGACATCAGTTCGATTCTCCAGCACTTCTTTAGTCAGTCTTTCCCTTGGTGGTTGTCGGGCAATTACTACTCTGGAGCTCACATGCCCTAACCTTGAGAAAGTCATTTTGGATGGTTGTGATCATTTAGAAAGAGCATCCTTTTGTCCTGTAAGTGGTATTGATTTCTTAGTTACTTTATAGTTTTTGTGAGTTGAATTTTTTTCATTCTTATGATCTTTTAATTTGATCATTTGACCAAATATGTTAAATCTATAATTGATGTTGAGCTTTAACATAAAATCTTGCTGTTTCATGTTTAAGAAAAGTCATGTTTGTATTCCAATTAAAGGGGTTGATTTTGGATTAAGGCTTGGGACTAGATTTACATGGTAACGTCAAGAGCTTTTGTGTTATAAAGCACTGACTCTGACACGGACTCTAGGACAAGGCTAATGTCCCAAAGATACGACATGATAACACTATAATCATGACAAAAATCTCAATTGAAAATTAAGATTTATATAAATCATACTACTATAAAATCAAATTTGTTACGTTCTCCCTTTAATAACATCCTTCACAATAGCATTCCAAGTAAAAACCATGAATGTTAATAGTTAAAATTACTAGTTGAGTCTCATTAATCAAACTTAAATAATTTGCATCATTTATAATATAATTTATTTTATTTTACCTATTTTTATTATAGTAGTGTCTAGGAAGTGGTTAGCCAAGAATAGGCTTTGGCTCAGTTTCTTTACTCAAGCTCAAGCTGTCTTGAAGAGGTGTCTGAGTTGTAAAAGAATATTTGATAATTGTGACACGGATGAAGAGTGTGGATACACATTGGTGGCATGTCTGACATGTGTCATCCAAAAAGTGTTGAACATGGCAATGTTATTTTACAGCGGTGTTGGTGTTTCCTCACTTTTGTTGGTATGTATGATATAGTTGCTAAATTAATTTCTTCATGTGCTTCTTAGGTTGGTCTTCGATCTCTCAATTTAGGAATATGTCCAAAATTAAATATACTCAGCATAGAAGCCATGGTTATGGTTTCACTTGAGTTGAAAGGATGTGGTGTACTGTCTGAAGCATCACTTAATTGTCCTCTGTTGACATCTTTGGATGCTTCCTTTTGCAGGTGAGGTTTTGCATATTATTTTCTTTTGCATCCTGCTTGTATGTGGACTGATGCTTATTGTTTTTGACATGCAGCCAACTCACTGATGAATGCCTGTCTGCAACAACTGCCTCATGCCCATTGATTGAGTCATTAATATTGATGTCTTGCCCATCAATTGGTTTGGATGGACTTTGTTCTTTGCGGTGGCTCTCGAATTTGTCCCTGCTGGATTTGTCATACACCTTTTTGGTCAATTTGCAGCCTGTTTTTGAGTCTTGTACGCAGCTAAAGGTTAGAGTTGCCATTTACTTTTGTGCTTATATTTTTACCTGTATGTGATTTGTTAGAAATATCAGTGGTAGTAGAGTGGCACGACATCATCACACGTTGAAGAAAAGTGCTGACAACTTTAGTCAGTCAAATAATTTTATACACCTAATGAAATTGCAGTGCACTGTGTGCATGTATCCCTTGTCCTCTAATTTTTTTTAAGAATTAGTTGGGATTGGTTGCCCCTTCAACAAATGTGAATTTGTTTTTGTTGAGATATGTCATGTTTTAGAGTTTAACTCATGTTTCTTTTATGTATATGTTCCTTAGACTAAGGTTAAGGTTTTGGGCTGAGGCTCATATCCTCTCTTTTGTGTTCCTTCTTTATAAATACAACCGTAACAGTGTCTTTATACACTGTATTGAAACCCTAAACAGTTTTCTCAAGTGTTTTTACTTGACAAAATTGTGATCTTATTTGTGTTCACTTGCATAGATTTTACTTCACAATATTGCACTTGTGTGACTGGGTGTGTTCCTAGATTATACCCTCTAATGTTTGTAATAATGAGCTGGTTTCATTGTGTTCATCCTAAAATGTAATTTGTTTTTATTAATAATACAACAGACATGCAATATTAATTGGATTCACTAGTAAGTATAAAATAATTGGTAATAGTAATATTTCTGGGTGCTGGGTATATCTTAGAATTGGCATTCTTGTTTAATTCCACTAAGCTTTTATTAATTACTGTTCAGATGTCCAACATTGCATTAGGAAAATAGCTAGTATGCTCCTAATAAGACATATTCAATCCTCCTCCCTTAAGCTAACTTTTGGGAGTGACTCAGGTCTGATCCATTTCTAAAAACTATCTCCGCATTTTATATTGTTAGATAAGACCTGTTGTATCTGTTGTCCGGAAAAAGTCTTGTAAAGTTTTATAGAAGTTATTTTTTATTTATTATAAAAACCCTGTGTATGAGAAAATTAGCTTAGTTTGGTCCTATCACTGTCATCCTTTTGTACTTCTTGGTGATATAAACTGTTGTTGCCAAGTGGAGAACACAGACACTCAAGCCATTTCTCTTGTTCAAATGTTCTCCAATGACATCTTTTTCTGGCAAACCTCAGATCTTGCTTGTCTTCTAACGGTGACACAACCCTGACAAACCCCTTAATGTGTTGCAATTCTTTGTTGCTCTCTTGCCAGATTTGTTCATCATAGGTGTTGCCTCTTGTCATCATAGCTTTACGTGCCACCATTGACAATCTCATCTCATTGATCTTCGGTGGTCCTATTTCAAACCTCTACTTGCATTGGGTAGTAGTCTGGCATTTGTGACTTGAAGAATATCCTTCCATTTTTTGTTTTACAAAATTACCTTTTTGGCCCAATTTTCACCATTTTTGGAAACCCAAGCATCATTGTAGAGAAACTAAATGTCAAAAATAATTTATCATTGTTTTCCTTCATAGAACTATGGTTCCTTGGTCAAGGATGCCACAAACATTTTAAAATAGAATTTAACAAAGTATCAAACATGGGAAGGAACTTGACTTTCAATTGATCATATTGTTGTGGAACCAAATATATTGGAGACTTAACCCATCAAAACATGTTCATTTTGGAAGAAAGTTCAATATTTTTGCTAATGATGCATTTGTATGATCTTGCTAAAAAACTGGCATCACTTAGAAAGACTTATCAATGACATATTATTGAACGTGTCTCTAGTCCAATTAGTCATTGTGGAACTAAAGATGTTTGGAGAAGGTAATAAAGTAGAAGAGATGAAGAAGAAATTTGAGAAGTTTTACATGATGCTTGTCTTGGATTGAATTCAAAATATTATCATGTTCATGATCAAATTTTTACCATTGAAGGTGATCTATCCAAAATATTATCATGCTTGTCTTGGATGAAATCTTTGGTAACGTATCCCTTATGGAAGGGAGGTTGTGGAAATTGAGGAGGATGTGGTGGTAGAGGTGTTTTCCTCAGTTCTCCTATTTCAGGATAAAGGGCCATACTTAGGAAACCATTTACTCCTTTCATGACTTTCTTGGGATCACAACAAATGTTTCTAAGTTGAAGAGATCTAAGCAGGAGTTTTCAGCATTTGTTTAAAGTCCAACAACCAAGCCTAGTCATCTTCAGCCCTTGGTGTTTTACCATGTATTTTGTCAATCTATGGATAGTCAAGGTCTATGGATAATTGACAAGCGCTTCTGTTCACATCTTTGGCAATGATTCTCTATTCATATGTATCTTCCTGATGCTCATGGAGAGTAGGGAAGTGTGATCTTTCACATAAGTGGCTCCTCACCTACAATCCACTAAAGAAGCAAATCAATCAGAACACATAAGTTTCAACATCCTTGCATGTTCATAACCAAAGGATTGAATCTCATATTTTCTTTAGAACACAAACTAAATCATATATAAGCTTTTAATCATAGATTTAAGAACACATGAATATAAGATGAAAGAAAAGAATAAATAGTATCCGAGATTGTAATCAAAGAAATTGGAATGATGTAGAAGAAAATGAATTGACAACATGCCACTTGATTGAGATTCAAGATTAGTGAGATAAAGAATCATCACTTAATTAAATATTTATAATTTTACAATTTGTAATTATTATTAATTAAATATATATTTTAATTTATTATATTTATATTAAAATATGTGTGTAAAATAAATATTTAATTATTTTTTATTTATACATATATAGAATATTTATACCATTATTATTATTATTATAATATTGTACTCAAATATTTTAATACTTATAACATTATTATTATAATACTGTATTCAAATATTTGATTACATATATAAGTTAATTTATTTTTAAGTTATTATTTAAAAATATGAAATATATAGTTTATAAGGAAATATTTAATAAGTTAATTTTTATTTAATTAGTTCAAAGTAATAAAAGTAAATTATTAATTCTTTTTAATCCTTTAAAATGCAATGATTTTATTAAGATAAAATTTGATATATGACAAATAAGAATAATAAGATCCAAAAAATATGACATAATAAAACCTAATAATTATAAATTATAAATAAAATAATATTAGTTACTACTAAGATTTATGTAAAATATTTAGAAAAAAAGATAAAAAAGAAGAAAAAAATTAACTTTGTGTTCATCAAACTAGTTGAAAAGATTGAAAAATAAAATAAAATTAATTGGAGAGATTAAAGAAATGTAAAAAACTAAAAGATAAGAAAAAGAGAATAATGTAATAAACTAATTGATATAAAAGATTAAAAAAAGAATTAAAAAGTGGATAGAAGAAAAGTAAAAAATGGTGAAATATAAAAAAAATGACTTTATATGTAATAGAAAAGGAAATACTTTTAAAATATTAATATTTTAAACTTTAAATTTAAATATAAAGTTGGGGATGAGACTGGGGTGGGGATTGCATTACCTAGCCCCGCCCCGTCCCTGACTTTTTAAAGCAGGGAAAACCTGCTACCGTCTCCTGTCAACTCGGTTTTTCTTGTCAAATTCGGGGCGCAAACAGATGGGTCCCCTCGGGTATGGGTTTAATTGCCATCCTTAGCAACCTACTTATTAAATAGTGAAATTAGAATTGATCAGAGAATAAGAGAGAGAAGGGGATCCAGGAAAGGGTGAAAGAAAAGGTTTATGTTATTGGATCAAATCTAATGTTATTGTAAATACAATATCTTCATCAGTACTTCTGATTTTGTTATTCCTTGTTTGTTGAAGGTATTAAAGTTGCAGGCATGCAAATATCTCACTGACTCATCACTTGAACCGCTTTACAAGGGTGGTGCTTTACCAGCACTTCAGGAGTTAGACTTGTCTTATGGAACACTGTGTCAGTCTGCCATTGAGGAACTTCTTTCTTGCTGCACACACCTTACACATTTGAGCTTGAATGGCTGTGTCAATATGCACGACTTAAACTGGGGAGGGCATATTGCTGGTGTAAATATGCTATCAATTACAAGTTCCTATAAAAATATCCACGAGCTAAGTGAACAACCCACCCGATTGCTTCAGAACTTAAACTGTGTGGGATGTCCGAACATTAGGAAAGTTTTCATTCCATTAGCAGCACATTGTTCCTGTTTGTTGTTTTTAAACCTTTCGCTATCCGCAAATTTGAAGGAGGTTGATGTAGCTTGTCTCAACCTAAGCTGGCTTAATCTAAGGTATGTTTGGATTTAATAACTGGATTGATTTCTATCCTTCTGTTATCATATATATATATATATATATATATATATATATATATATATATATATATATATATATATATATATATATATATATATGTTAAATAAATACTCTTATGTGTATGGGCCTTGTGCCCAGGATCTCTGTGCTCTGTCTATATTCATCTCTGGATGAGTTCTATTACTCCTAACTGTTAATAATGTGTTAACTTTTCTATTCAGCAATTGTTCCTCTTTGGAAGTTTTGAATCTAGATTGTCCAAGATTGACCAGTCTATTCCTCCAGGTAATTACTTTTCTCTTCCAATTGAAATAGATTGTTGCACGCGTTATGTATTTAATTCTTGCTGTCAAATTGTATTCTAGCCATGTTTGAGTATGTTTAGGTAATGAGTCTTAGGTTATATGCATTACAGTGGCATAAGCTATCTCGGGAAGTTTTTCCGTTGTGTGACTGTTTTCAAGTTCCACATAACTGAATGGACTGCAAACATTTCCATAAAAAAATGTTTGAATTTAGGGTTGGCCCTTATCCACTTAAAATTAAGCACCATAACATAAAATTATAGTCTAATTCTTGCAACCCGTCTAACTTTTTTAATGGAGTGGTATTTGGATGTTTTAGTCTTGCAACATTGACGAGGAAGCAGTAGAGGCTGCTATATCAAGATGCACTATGCTGGAGACTCTTGACGTTCGCTTCTGTCCGAAGGTGACAGCAATTACCAGTAGCATGTGGACATATTCTTTAATTAATTTTAGCTAATTAACCTTTTCACGCATGATGGAATGTATTGACGTTTTTATTGTTATATTTTATTGTGCTTTTCAGATTAGCTCAATGAGCATGGGAAGATTGCGTGCAGCATGTCCTAGTTTGAAGCGTATATTCAGCAGCTTGTCAACTTCATAAACATAACCAAGGATCTTCGAATTTTCTGGTGGTTTTCATTTGAAGACACACTTGGTAATAAATCAGGTTATTTCCTCATGACTGTAAATGGTCAACTTGTTAGTATTTCTGTTATGTTTTTCGTATATAGAAATCAGGTTATCTCTCACGAATTATTGTAATAAATTCTCGTTGTTATACTTGTACTCTTGTAAATTTTATATTTCAATTTTGTTGATACTTATTTTATTCTAAAATAGTCTAATTTTGTTTTTGTTGTAAATAGGCGTATCTGATCCTTTTCCATAGCGTTCCATTGACTATGCTGTAAATTGCTCTATCATGTACTGACATTATATTGAGATACGCATTTTTCTTCTGGAACTTAACTTAGACAAATGATATAGTTCCTCCCCCTTCCCCAAATAAAAGAATATTTGCTGTGTCGGGTTTTAGGTCAAGTTTAAATTTAGTGTAAATATGCTTAAAATATTATTAACGAATGTCAAAAGTGCTCATATGCCAATTACGAAAATCTCTAAGCGAGATCAATTTTTTAAGAAACCAGCGGTGATAGCTGACAATACAAAGCTCTCCTTCACACCGCGTAGGCAAATTTCCTGACAAAACTAGGCCCTTGTTACGCCCCGGCTATGGTTCATAAATAGCAGTTATGTATTTTCTTATGCAATGGGATTCGATTGTTTGGGATCCTTATTTTGTGTGGTCGCTATGTATATTCTCACTTCTCTATGATGAGTGCAGCTGTGCTCATGATGGGCCAACAATTGGAAGGATGTAAGGGTTAGGTAGGATGTGGCTATTTGCTACTTTACTCTTGGTTTGCCATTATAAACTTACAGAAATTGGATGAATTTCTATTTGATTAAGAATATTTTCTTCTTTAGAAAAAAAAAAAAAACGATTGTGAGGAACAAATTTTATCATATTTGTGTGGGCCTACACATTGTAACTCGATGTTGATATGTCATACATCATGCATTGTGCAAAAAGGCTCTTATTTAACCAAAAATTGAACAAATTTAACCAAATTTCAGGTTTATTCAAGACGTTTCAAATCACACTTACAATTACAACTTTGCTACCACTTCCATGTGTCACTCTAATCTCTATTCAAGCATAGTGATGTTTTATCATACTTGTAGCAAGCCTACTACACATGGTAAACAACGATTGTCATATGATACGATGAACATATGAAAAATATTGTAATAGAAATTAAGCACAAAATTATATAGATTAGTATATTAAAAAAAATAGAGATGATAATGTATCACAATATGTCATAGAGAAAAATATCATATTAAGGAGACAATATATAAGATACTCAAGATAAATGAAGAGAGAGAAAGATAGAAGAATGAAATGATTGCAGAGATAATAGAATAGAATGCAGTAGTTTCGCTTAATTGCAGTCTTCTTATTGAGATAACTTTTAAATTCATTCATATTCTAAATTTCAAATTTCAAATTGCAACAAATTTCAAATTCAAATTCTAATGAATTCCAAACTTCAAATTCAAATTTCTAATCCCAAATTTCAAATTCCAATTCAAATTCAAATTCAAAAATCTCAAACTGCAAAAAAATCAAATTTAAACAAAAAAAAACTCAAACTACAAAAATTTCAAATTTCAAAATCTTAAACTCGCAAAATTTTCAAATCTCAAAAATCTCAAACTTTCAAATTTCAAACTTTAATTATTTCAAATTTTCATAAATTCAAATTTTCAAAATTTAAATTTTCAAAAATTAAGACTTTCAAATTTCAAATTTTAATAATTTCAAATTTTCATAAATTCAAATTTTCAAATTTCTAAGTTGGTTAACAATCGAATTTATAAATGCAGATATTCAATGTAGAGGCATGAGAAATAAGAATAAACTTATCTTTGTGATATTTTCCTGTTCATCTATATTGTTCTTGTACACCCATTTAGCTCTAATAACTTGTATTGATTTCTTATCCTTGATAATCACCTTCAACATCAACATGCAAATCTAGGTACCCTTTAATTATTTTTTAGTCCTTAAGAAGGTTAATAGAATCACAAGTCTATGCCAAAAGAGTAAGGATAAAAGAATAGAACCATGATATAATAATTGATTATCACATCACCTTCAAAATCAATATAATTGATTATGACAATTTTTTTTTCCGAAAATTCATAATCTATTAGATGCTCAAACTATCATCTAGACAGTATAAATGTTTTGTTCCTTTAGGCACCCATTCATATTTTCCATTAGATATGCCAAAATGTTTTATGTAACATCTATTTGATGTATGGTCTAATTTCATGCAATAAAAACATGTTGGTTTTTTTTGAAGAGGTCTAAATGAATTTCTTAAAGTTCTTAAAATTGACTTCACATCTGTTTTCTTTGACTCTTTCAAAAAAATAGTTTTATGAGGTTCTAGACTTTCTTTGGGTTTGTAACCAAGTCCAGCTTTGCTAGAATTCCCTCTTTGATAACCTAATATAGAATCACGATTTTCAGAAGATTTTGAAAACTTGCTTATTATTTTCTCTAACTTGAAAATCTCATTTTCCAAATGATTACAATTTTTACAAGGTTTAACAACTTCTTTATTTTTAAACAAAGTTTTAAATTTCTCAATATCTTTCTTTAAGAACTCATTTTCTTTTTCAAGAATACCAACAGTATTTTCTAATGCATCAAACTTTTGCTTAAGTGCAGTGTATTTCTTAGCTAGCCTGTTAAAACCTTCATACATTTCTTGATAGGCTTTATAGACCCTAAATCTTGCCCGACCTCAAAATAAAGAGTAGAAGACCTCCGTTCGAAGATGGGCAAGGCCTAAAAGGTCCCTAGGATTGATCAATAGACCTCATATTAGAATATGAAGAATTTTTGTACATGAAAAATAAGAAATTTCACCCAAAGGGTCAAGACTGCCATCCCGTTTGGCGAGACCGCCGTCTCGCCGTTGGCTAAGGGCGAGACCGCCGTCTCGCCACTTGCCAAAGGCGAGACGACGGTCCTGAAAGTTGAGACGGCGGTCCCAACCTTGTCAGGCGAGACGATAGTCCTGACCTGACATGTGCAAATTCCTATAATAGGGGGAGACCTTCACCTCGTTTTCACACCATTCTACAACTTCTCCAACTGTACAATTCTCAAAATACTCTCCTAAAACCCCTTTGAAGCATTTTCAGAGTTCTAGAGTTCTTGGGAAGCGTTTTAAAGTGCTTGGAGAGAAGAGTGAGCTGCTTTGTAGAGTGTGGGGTTCGCCAAAAAGCGTCATCTTCAAGAGCATATTATATAAAAGCTTGCTTCGAAGGTTCTTCCATACCTCTTTCTCTATTTTATTTCTTTTTAGATACTATCTCTGTGCAAGGGTCATGTAGTCGATAACTTAATTTTTGCAATGAATAAATAAGAGTAAAAACGTAGTTTTAAAGTTCTTATTTCTTTATAAAAAAATAGTCCATCATAGGGAACCCAAAAGGGGCGTCATGGGGAAGCTAATACCTTCCCCACATGTAACTAACTCCCTTACCTAACTCTGGTTGTAATGACCAAAGTTGGTTTTTCTTAAAAATCATCGCCTTCTTTTCCTTTTCTAATGTTTTGGGTAAAAATATTGGTGGCGACTCCTCGAACCTTTTCGAAAACCTCGCTTTTAGGTCAATCCCGATTATCGGACAACCTAAAGGCGTTAAACCATTTCTTTCAAAAAAAAACACGAGTCAAACAAAACTATCGTGTTGCTCCGACCGCTTCTTTTGACGGCGGCGACAGATGACGACTTCACTGGGGAAGCTAGAGAGTTGATCCCATTTAGTGATGAACTAGTTTAAGAAGTAAAAATTTGAAATAACGCTTTTACCCTTCCTTGCTTTTATAACATGATTTATTGTTTGACTTTAATAACTGTTGTATGCTTACCTTACGCAATTGTTTGAAATAATAACTGTACACAAACCCTTGCACACAACAATTCCCCCTATACCCGGAGGCAAATGGGATAACCTTAGGGAGTGAGTGACATTGTACGATTTGCCGTAGTGAGGGCCATGAGTCCACCGGTATGGTCGAAAACCACCACTCAAGGTGATAACCTTCCTTTTTTGGCCTAAAGACTGACAAGGTCCTAGTGCCATGCATGGTCTGAAGGCTGGGAGAGTGGGGACCCTATAATGGGGGCACCTTGGGGGCATGGCCTTGGTGATGATATTTAGAACTACCTTGAATACGCACTCTTCTGTAGGATAACCCTACCTCGTGATAAAAACAGCGTTACTCTGTTCGCGGATGAGTGAATTATGTGTGAATTTGTTTGTTGCATAGCATAATCATACAACAACACAATAAAAATAAAATCTCAAAATTTTTTCATAATAAACACCCTTATCTCGGACAGTCTACATTTTAGTTAGCCTGGTTTCAGGTTCTTTGTAAGCTAAGTAGCCACGTGGACCGACAGAAGAGATAAGGGGATATAAAACTAAATTTTCATAATAAACAACTTTATCTCGGACAGTTCACATTTTAGCTAGCCTGGTTTTAGGTTCTTTGTAAGCTAAATAGCCACGTGGACCGACAGAAGAGATAAAGGGTTAAAAATAATAAAAACATTTTAAAGCAATAAAAAATAAATACCTTTTACAATAAAAAGAATTTTGACAAAGTTGTATCATTCATACCCGCATCATCTCATAAGTGGTAAAAATAGGAGAGAAAATAAATGCATAAGGAAAGTATGTATACTCATCATCTTAATAAATCCCTCAAAAAATGGGTCTTAGGAGCCTTTTTTGGGAAAATTGTTGGGCCAAATCCCCTATGAGTATTTGTCACCTGTTCTTCACTTTTTCCTCTTTGTTTTGATATGTTGTGAGTCCAAATCCGACATCCCAGTCAAAAGTTATCTCACTTTAAACATCTGCCACCTTTTTGCACTAATGCATGCATAAATACATTAATGCTAGGGGGCATTAGATATCCCTAAGACAAAGGTGAAAGAGGCCCTG